TCCTGAGTAGCCAGGCTGGTCCGGATGCCTTTCTCCCTCCTCCATAGAAGCCGAGACTGGCTGTTGTAATCTGTTCAAGTTACTAATTACTTGTCCCGTTACGTTCTGGCTCAGCCTTGGACCAGATGGGGGTTTTCAAGCGGGGGGGGGGCGTGCAAAGGGCATTAAAAAAAATAACCAAACTCCAGTACTTCTTTTCAAACCAGCCTTGGGGAAAAAAAAACAGTGTTTTCGTTGTTTTTAAATCTCCTCAGAAACACTTGAGGCACTTGAGAATTTAAAAATGAATTCATGGACAGGGAGAGTCAGAAATGGGGAAATTCATCTGTGGCTCCTGTTAGGAGGAGGAGCGGCATTTCAGTCACTATTATCTTACATTAATTGGTTAACCAAAGGGTTTGGGTTTTTTTAGAAGGAAACGGTTTTTCACACATCAGCCCATTGGGTTTTTACTTCTCACTCCTCAGTGGCACCAGTTTCCTCTTGGCTTTTTTAAAAATGCACTTTCTGGGGTTTTTAAGTTGTCATCCACAAATTTCCACATGTGTTGGATTGCAGATGGTTCGGGAGGTGGAGGTTTGTAGTGTAATGCTTTTGGAAATTGCTGAGTTTAGAAATCTGCCTTAAACCTGTGGCATTTTGCAAGTTACTTGGTTAAATTTCATTAGTGATGGGAATTTTTTTTTCTCTTTTCATCCCCACAACATGGAGGCTCTTTGGTTCTCTCTTCAAGCCTCATGTTTTGTCTAGTTGGGGAGAGCAGAATAAGAAATTACCGTAGGTTACTACGTAGTAGAGGATGCGGATATACTGCAATAGCAAAACAGCAGTAAGCAACAACAAAAATCAGCTGATAGAGGGCTAGGCCTTAACCAGAAATATTTTTAATGCCTCTAAACAAATGGAAAACTTTTTTCTGTCCAATGGAATAATTGTATCCTCTAATTTCCTACTTTAGTTTTGGGTTTCAAGGTAGACGTCAGGCTCAAATTAACACCTATGCAAACTCTATTCTGGGTATACTGTAATGTAATCAGTTTCCTGTTATCTCCTAGATTGTAACCTTGACTCTAGATTCAATTTTGTTTTATAAACAGATTCTAAGTTTTAAGCCGTTGCTCAAATGGGAAGTTCTGCTTTTCTGTTTGAACGTGTTTATTTCAGTGTATAAAATACCTCCTTGGACACAAAGGGAAACACAAAAAGAGCTCATTTTTTCCCTCAGCGATGAAGTTTTCCATAGATATGTTATTGTAACGTGTGTGTGATTTTTTTATATCTTTTTGTCATTCCGAAATAGAAGTCCCGTTTGAAGAAGGTTTTGATGAAGAAGACAGTCGTTCCGAGAGGCTAGGTGGGGCCTCTTCCATGTCAGTGGTAGAAGGAAGTAAGTAAGGGGGAAAATCCAGGAGAAATCTAGTTAGCAACTTGTGATTTTAACTTGTGGCCCAAGATATTTTGCTGCCTGAGGCCGAACAGTGAATAATGGCCACCTGCCACTGCACTATGGCTGGGGGGGGGGTCACGAGGGGAAAGAGCCAAACCAAATATTTTTGCTTAGAATCAGTTCTGGTTACTTCCCTTCCCTCCCACAACCTCTGCAGTATGCTTTGAAGATGGGGTTAGTAACACTTTTCTTTTTTTGCTTTTTCAGTCATCTGAATCTGATGACCCTCAGGGTTCCTTCTGACTCTGCCATTCTATGACCCTGTGATCTGGCTGGGTTACTTGTGTATTTGCTTATTTATTTATAATATTGATCTGTCCCCGCCTTAATCCTTAAAAAAGGACTTGAGGCAGCTTCCATAATTAAAAGACACTATTTAAAAGCTACAACAGTAAGTATAGAAATATTTTAAAGTTCAAGGAAGACCCTCACACACACATCCCCACCAAGAGTAACAAGGTGCCTTTGAAGATGATTCAGTCCTTTCGGTTCCTGAAAAATGTAGCCAACCCCATTTTAGTAAATGACCGCCACAACATGGATTTTACACCAATTTTGCAGGCGCTACCTAGCAGTACATTTCTGGGATCAACTCCGTTAACCACTCCGGATAAATCTGAGGGGTTATCTTTCTTTCCTAGTACTGTATAGGTTGTGTTCGTTATTTGCTGCGCTCTCGGTTACAGTTTTTTTTATTTTTGTTCCGAATCTTCCTGTTTCTAGGGAGAGAATTGAAAAGCAAAAGCTCCCTGTCTGAAGGCAAGGAAAAGCCTGCTGCGCCTGCCCTTTCCTCCACGGTCTCCCTTGGGACTGGGATGGCCGACATAGAGCGCGAGCTAGGAATGGAAGACTCAAGAACTCGGACGTACAAAGTAAGTCCTTTTCTCCTTCAGTGCTGGCTCCGCAGGGATGCCTGGATGCAGGCTGCCTCGGATGAATGGCTACAACCAACAGGCAATGTCGGTATCTCAACAGACCTTCTGGTTTAAAGAGAGAGAATGACCTCTGGACTTGAAATGAAGAGAGATCCTAGAATACCCCAGTAATGGCTATTCAGATTGTACAAAGTAGCAGCTTATTCATTCCAGATTCTTGCCTGCTGCCAAGGGATTCCCCCCCCTCAGTGCCTGGATCTTGTGGCTTTTGTGTGATTCCAAATACTGATTCACTTTAACCCTCTCTTAAAACATTCTGTGCTGAAATTGGACTTCATTGCAGAAATCGGCTTGAGAAGGCAGCTTGAGATAAACCTATTTGCTTTGGAAGTAGAGGGTAGCCGTGCGCTGCAAACAAAATAAAATCCAAATGCTAAGACAGGCGATACACCTTTAGGAACACTAAAAAATCATCATACAGATAATTTTGTTAGTGGTCTATCAATATATTTGCTTTTGTTTTGTCAGTATACTCGTAAACCATTTTAAAAAAACAACAACACCATAACATTACTGTCCGTTTCAGAAAATTGTAAAGAAAGAGGTTTATAACTTGTATTATCACATGGCTGTGAATGACATCCCAGAAGACTTTGTGGAGAGCGACGTGGTGTTTTTTCTTCGAAACACTGCAGGTATTTTAGGAGAAGGGTTATCAAGGAATATTTTAGGTGGAAGGAAGGGCTGGTCTGTATTTCAGGAAAAACAAAACTGAATGGCTGTCTAGACGTTTAGATCACTATGTTTGAATGCTTCCCTGCAGTGGAAACACCCTGATAATCCAAAGAATACCCCATCATTCCCTTAAATGTGCTTTTAAAAAATGTACACAGAGACTGGGGGAGAAAAAAGCATTCAAAATAAAGGCCCCCACCTTTTTTTCCTGTCATTTTGAAGTCTAGATGGGAGGTCACACATGATTTTCCTGATTTATAAATCAGCTTAGGAGCAGTGGGTTTGTATAACTCCTGGAACATATAATTACTTTCTTCTGTATTTTCAGAAACTGTTAGTGAACCCAATGATTTGATGGAAGCAAATGATGTCCTGCCGGAAGTGCTGGAATATGGAATACTAAATAGTCATACCTTAGTGATGCTGAAGCAGATCTTTGGACAGGTGAGAGCTGTTTATTGTTGGCGTTTCAATTGGACTACAGGTATTTTTGCAGAGTGTAGTAATTTCTACAGAAAATACAGAAAACAGGCCAAGTTTGGAGTAGACTCTGTATGTCCTTTGTTTACATTATGCTTTGCCTTTGACAGCGGCATGTCTCTATTAAAAAATTATAATTGAATTTGGCGTTATGTTTTGAATGGAAGCCAACAAGAAATAGGAGAAACAAGTCTTGTCTTTTCAGGTCTTCCTGCCTGCAATGTGCCATAACCAGTATGATGTGGACATAGCTGTTCCTCGGCCGGAAGGTGAAATAGCGGAAGGCGAAGATTCATCATCAGCAGTTAGGACAATGACGAAGCCAGTTGCGCTAGACAGCTTTCAGATGCTGAGGAATGAATTCTTAATGAATATGCAGAAATTCCTAAACCATATTCAGAGGACCATACAGCAGATTGAAGGTAGGTCTCAGATCGTTCACACACGTGCTTCAAAGCACTTCTGAAGCTCTTGCTTATAGTTGCTCTATGTGGGTTTTTTAAAATGTATATTTAAATGTGCTTGTATCAGAAATTTGAATTGACTAGTGAATATGCAGAAAGGTAGATTTGTAGTTCCATTCCATTCTTTCTTCTGTGTGGAGTTAAGTGAAATGTTCAGGGGGGTTGTAAGATCAGCTCAGAGCAGCTGATGGAAACCCCCGCATTCAGTAAATGTTGGAAGGATAGCAGGTTTAGATTATTAGCAGAAAAAATAACCATCTTGGTTCAGGGGAAGAAAGCAAATTAAAATCCACAGGCAAATAAACTGAAGCTCCACACATGAAAATGTCCATGTTCTCCAGAACTCTTACTCCAGCTGCGTGGTCTAAAAAGGGATGTGGGGCCGGAAAGCAGAGAATTCCAAAAAATGGCCCAGACACAATGTTTGCTGTTAGCCGTGGTCCCAAGGTGTAGCTTTCAGCCTGAACGAATCTGAAAGTGCGAAGGGACATTTCTGAGCATGTCCTTTGTTACTAAAAGGTGTAACGGGATAAATGATTGAGGCTAATCATATTTTCACTCCATAGGGGAGATTAAGCTCCAGATGCCCACCTTGTGTTTAGATGGGGATGTGAACGATCTCGCAAATGATCGCGATGTCGTTGAAACGCTGGAAGGGCTGGCCACCAACTGGCTCGTGTTGATATCTTCTGCTGATGAAGAGCTCCAGAGAAAAGTCCCCCAGGTAGGCCCGTTAGAGCAGATTGCATGGTTTAACCCCTCCATCTTTTCCACGTCTTGCCACAGGGGGTCCCCAGGCCTCTAAAGGTGCTGGATCTGGAAGGAGTGATAGAGATGATTTGTTTCGGCATAACGTCCATACATGCTCAACATTTTGTCTTTGTGACCCTCTGTCTGATCTTAACGGGGAAAGCTTTTGCTGAATATTCGCTGCCTGACCTGGCACGAGAGAGATCTAGAATATAGTACTTCTCAAGGGAAGAAAGGTGAACCTTCTTGCCTACTTTCGGACATGGAGGGGCCACTAATGCCTTTTGGGCGAGGAACCTTGTACTCGTGCCTGTCAGCAAAGGCCAACTCTGGTACAAGGAAGAAGGAAGCCAAGCTGTGAGCATCTGACGGATCCTGTTTCTGATCTGGTGGTTGTTTGGCGTGTTTTTTTGTTTTTTGTTTTGCAGTAGAAAAGGAAACAGACATTTAAAGCTGGACCTGTCTTTAGAGCAGGAAAATCATTCCGTTGCTGGTTAGGTGTGAGAGTTATAGCAGGAGCTTTCTGGAGTTGCAAAAAGTCTGCCCTGAATCACATCTCTCCTACAGCAGTTGCTTTCAGGTCTAACAAGAGGTTGCCTACAGGGCCTCTTTCTGCCTGCAGGAATCATGGACAAAGTTAAGAAAGGCAGCAGCATCGCTACCGTGTTCGCCCGAGGGTCTTATATTAATTTTTGCTATAAATAAACGCATTAGGGCTTATTTTCAGGGGATTTTTTCATGTACAACCATCTACATTGATTCAAATACAGCCATGCCATCGTCGTCTGATGGCTGCACAAGGGTGGAGAGCGGGGTTTCACTTAACTGGGGTACGGCTTATATGACGAGCATCCTGAAAAATCATACTAGGGCTTATTTTCAGGTTAGGTCTTATTTTCAGGGAAACCGGGTATCGATTAGCCTCGATTGATTGATTGCTGGCTTGTTTCATGCCCTTTCAGTCATCTTTCTTTTCTTAAAGGAAATTGCTATAAATAGTTTGGCCTTTCCTTGCTGGAAAGTCATGGGAAGCCTTTAGTAACCCTCACTTCCTGGCTCCAAACTGCTTCTCTTGGTATGGAAGGACCTGTGCCTCTGTGTATGTCCTCTGTAGCTGATCTGCTGGATAGCCCGGTGGTTTAAGTCTCTGGCTGTGGGTTCAGAGGTTGAGAGTTCAAACCCCCACTGTGCCTCCTTGAGGGGGGGCCTGGGCTCCATGGTCCCATCCAGCTCTGTAATTCTTAGATGATGATGATGATACCATATATACAACTGGCTTCCCTGTGGTGATAGCACAGAGGTGATAACATTGTATATTACACTCCCTTGCGTTCACGGAAGTAAGGCTGTGAGCGAATTGAACGGCGGCTTTTCCTTCAAAGCCCCCTCCCCGATGATCCTCTCTTCTTCGGTCTTGCTCTCAGGGGAACGGCCCGCTTGCTGAGATTGATCTGTGGCGGGAGAGGAACGCGACTCTGAGTGCCCTCACAGAGCAGGTCAAGCTGCCGCTGGTCAAAAGAGTTTTGGAAATCCTGGACATCGCCAACACGGGGATTGTGGAAAGCTTGCAGGTGGTCGTAGCTGAGCTTTGTAAGCACCACGTGGAGGCGGTGGACAACGTGCGGTTCCTCTCCACCCTTGAGCGACACTTGAAGGTAAACCTGGATTAGCCGGAGAGGCGGCAGAGGGGCAGGAGGGGGCCATTCTCCCCCCAAAAAAACCATACCCCTCCTCGAAAATGTTTCTTAGTTCGATCCAGTCTTTATCGGCATTCAAACCCAACCCTCGCTCTTGGGGAGCAGGGGATCATCAACAGCATCCCATCCCCTCCACGCGGTTGCCCTTTCTTCCTGCTCCCCTTGGCTTAACGCTCTCTGTCCTCTCCTCCGAAGAACTTAACTCATGGCACCGGGTTCAATGTGGTCTTGGATACGATTCCCTCCCTGATGAATGCCTTGAGGATGGTGTGGATCATTTCGCGGCATTATAACAAGGACGAAAGGATGATCCCCCTCATGGAGCGGATCGCCTGGGAAATCTCCGCCAGGGTCTGCAAAGTGGTGGACCTGCGCACTTTGTTCAAGTGAGTGGCATCTAAGATGGCAATGATTGGTTGACCTAGCAGAACAGCCTCTTTTAACGTCACTGCCCTGACTTGTCATTTCCAGCAATTCTAAGCAGTATCTTGAGGCTTAAGACTGTAGTGAATTTGCTAACTAAATAAATTTCTTGAAGAATTATTATTTAAGTTATTGATTTAATGTTAGCCCACTGATTTTCAAGTTCTGATCTTATGTACGGGACTTAGCATCCATAGCTGTAGTCACCCTGGCTAGGTGCTGACATGATGTTGGCTTCCTTCAGATTAGGAGTCCGTTTTCCATTGTCCTCCTCTTTCCCTTCTCTGGTTTCCCGGCCCTTTCTTTTACTCATCCGTGGTTGCAACTGCAGTGGTCTTATCCTGAAGCGTATAGCATGCTTTTAAAATTCCTTCTGAGTGACTGGGTTTTCTAAGTACATCCCATGATGAAACATCTCTGGTCTCAAAAATGTTAAGCCTCTTAGATGCTGACTATAACAGCTTTCTGTTTCTTTTCTTCTTCTTCTTCTTTTCCTTCCTCCTTCGCATCCCTCGTTTCCGATAAACTTAACCTCTGCAACCTCTTACGGGTCCGAAGGGAAGACAGGCAGCTTGCGAAAACCAAGATGATCGAAGCCAAACGGACTCTTGAAATCTGGAAGGAGTCTTATTTTGACATCCGCGCCAAAATCGAGGCTTCTGGAAGAGATGCGCGGTGGGAATTTGACCGGAAGCGTTTGTTTGAAAAAACAGATTACATGGCTATCATCTGTCAGGACCTTTATAATGTACTGCAGGTAACAGCCTAGAACTGCTGAATTCGGGGGGTGGGGAGTAGTATTGTTTGTTGAGCCCTACCCAAGGCTCCTAATGTATGCTACAATATCAGGGTCTACGCTTGGTGGGGAGTAGTATTGTTTGTTGAGCCCTCCCCAAGACCCTACAATATCAGGGTCTACACTCTCCTTTGTCTTTAGTCTCAGAAATCCATGTACTCAGAGGTATTCCTGACCTAGAAGTAAATGTAGAAGGCTGTTCCTATGAGAATCCTGCGTGGACCCTTACTTCGAAGCTTTCTTTCAGAGACCGCTACTAGGGCTACGTTGCTGGCAAGGAGCCGTTAGAGCTGAAAATGGCGTTAAGAGTTCCAGAGATGTGATTTAGGAATACTTATCTGTTTCAGAGTTCGAAATAAAGCTGATCTTTGGCATCCGAAGATCAGTTGCCAAAGAAAGCAACTTAATTTGCAAACTCCATGTCACTTGCCATGACAGTCGCATGCTCTCAGCAATTAAGGAATTGTCTTTTTAATGATGGGTCAAGAATGCACAGTTGGTTTATCTGTGGTAGCCTTTGAGAATAGCGGAGTACTTTTCGGGCTTTGAGTTTAGAAGATCTGTGGCCGCTGAAAAGAGCGTTTACTTATCGCCAGGTGATAGAGGAGTTCTACAACATTTTCGGTCCCGAACTGAAAGCGGTCACGGGAGATCCGAAGCGCATCGATGAAGTCCTGCGAAGAGTTGACGGCCTCGTGAGCCCCATGGAGGTTCTGTCCTTTGAGCCTTTCAACATCCGGTGTGCCACGCAGTGGAAGCTGGTGATGGAGGATTTTAAGCTGGAGGTTGTGGTAAGGAGTCGAGGCTTCGATCCGTTTTATATCAGTTTTACGAGTCTTAAGAATTCCACCCATCTCCTGTGAAGAGATACCAGGAGATAGCTTGTGTGTTTTTTAACCCTGGCCCAGTCATGGGCTTAACCATTGTTTTATTGGGTTGGGACTACCTCTTCTCTGTGTTGCTCATGAAACGGAATGCCCCCTCCCCATTTTAAAACATCTGCTTTGTTTGATTTTTAAGGATATAGAAAAAGAAGCCAAGAGCTTCATTGATGAGTCTTTTAAGTCTCTTCGCTCGGCAGAAGCTGCTTTTGACATGCTCTTAAAGTTCAAGCACATCCGCTCCCGAGAGGCCATCAATAAGCAGATGATGATGAAATTCAATGACATTCTGACACAGTATTGCAAAGAGGTATTTTGCTCTTACTCTCCACGTCTTCTTCGATCTCCTGCTAACCTTTGTAGAAACGAACAATAAGAGCCGGCATCACTTTTTCCCCCCTAGAGGGCCTGTAGTGCTTAATTCCCAACTTATTTGTCACTCTTCACATGCCGAGATCGCCTTTCCTACAGCTGCATTCGTTAGCTGCACTGCTAATAATTGTCTTGAATATTA